AATTATTTTATAATAATTATCTACTTTATCTAATTTATCTATTTCTTACCATTATCTAAATGGTAAGAAATGGGGGAACCAGGGTCTCCCTGGTGGCGCAAGGGGTTAAAGCACAGCATTATGAAGCTATTTGCAGCCACTTCAGCATGAGTTCTATCCCCAGCCAGGGAGCTGACCCACAGGGTGCAGCAGACCTCTCTTGACCTGCCTGCTGCTCCCTTCAGCTGCATGTTTCAGTAGATCCACCTGTTTTGCTCCCCACTCTGTCTCTGGTGAATCCCCTCATCCCCACCCTCTGCACCTCTGGCCTGTACCCCAGTTCTGGAATGCATAAATAAACCTTAAAAAGTTTTTTAAATAGAAGGGGGGAACCATCTAAATGGCCATCTGAGTGAGACTGGTAAGTGCAGTTTCCTTACGATTATACTTGAGCTACATGGTTCTGCCTCAAACACTGCACTGAATAAGGGATGTGGTGATGGTGGGGAGACTGCCAGTTTCTAAAAAGAATTTAAAATAAGTAAATAAATCTTTCAGCACTCAGAACCACACCATTCGGTGGGAACAAAGCAACTTACTAAAGGACGTAAACACCAGAGCTCTGCTGATGCTCCAGCTTCTTTTTTGAAACAGAAGAGCCCCGCTGAGTGCAAAGACAAACCCCTTTTATCCCAGACAGCATCGCTGTGGTTGCCTGACATAAAGCAGGTAAGCGGGGAGCTGCTCTCACCAGAAGCAGGTGGAGGGGGACTGGAAGCCCAGCCATTTGCTCCCACCCCGGAAGACCTTCCACAGACCAGAAAGGCTGGGGTGATGCAGACTGAGAGGCACGTGGAGCGGGAGGCGCCTTAGGGAGCACGTGCCAAGTTGGCCCATGAAGGCAGCCATTAGCCTGCACAGCAGCTGAGGAAACGGTTGCTCCCCATTCTGGAACAACCTCTTAGCTAAGAGGATGTGGCTCCCTCGTCATAGGTGACCCAGAGCCTTTAAGCCCCAGTTGTTGGCATTCACAGACCCAAGGAGCCCAGGCTTGGCCCTCCTGGCTTTGTGCACCAGCCCAGGACACCGTCCCTTCCCCCCCACATCCGTGGCAGGGGGCCCAGGTCCCACTCCTGATTTATTCCTCTTTCTCAGCTCCTATTTCCCCTCCTGCCTTGCTGTTTTCAATGTCTTGTAGTGATATGTTTATCAGCCGTCATCTAGAAGCTGAGGTGGAGGGTTTAATACTCCTAACTCTCTTGAGCAGCTAGCATGTTGTATTAACTTAAAAAGAAAAGAAAAACAAACGTTTCCTATCTCACGTTGGAAGGCCATTCATGGAAAAACCACATTCACAAAGTCAGCCACCATGGGGTACTCTACTCGGTCCCCCCATGTGTTTCTGGGAACCATGGAACCCATGGCATGTGCTCACATCCAGCTGAGCCAGAGCTGGTGGCTCTTCCCAACTCAGGGCTGTCCACTCAGGTTGATAAAAGTATGTAGCAATTCTCGAAGAGAAAACTTGATAACTAGCAAAAGGATTTCTGTATTTGTGCAGCCAGACCCCACTATATGCAACTTACAATACTGGGAGGATTCTGGGTGTGGATCCCATTCTTAATGTGGGGTTGGACTACTTCTCAATTGAGGGGGTCACTGACTCAGAGGGAAATATCTCCCTCTCCCTCCGCACAGGGAAGAGCATAAAAGCAGCTCGAGGGATTGTTGCAGACTTGATTGGAGCCTACTTGCCCTGGAGAACAGAACTGGGCAGGAAGGAAGACAATACAAGCCGTCCTGGCGGATGGCCAGGGTCTCTGTAAAGCTGCACCAGGGAGAGACAGAGGCTGATTCAACACCTACTTCGGTGTGGGGCTCGGTGAGTGACAGGCACAAGCTCCATCTCACAGGGACCCAGGGGAATGATTAACACACAGCACCGCCGCCATCACAGAGCATCGTCTAACATTTTTATTTTGCTCATCGGGAGGTCAAAAATAGCATTCCTTGGCTTAATTGCATTTCTTACATTTGGATAGCTGCTGATGATTTTTACACAGATCTTAGTGGATTTCCTCTTCTGTAAAGCTCTGTTCCTGGTTTTTGTCCACATTGTCTACTGCCTTCTTTTTCATTTTGATGTTGTAAGAAGGCTCTAATTTTCCCCTCGTTTTTTGACACTCTGATATGTTGTCACAGAGCAGGTTTTCACTTTTGTGCTGTCAAATACAGCAGTGTTTCTTTTCTTTCTCTCCTCTCTCTGTCCTTCCGAACCCATCTGTACAGAAACTGAGGAACGATGCTCAACTGAGCCAGACACGGGCTACTTACGGGAGGGGAGGCTTGGGGTGACTGGCACCCATTTCATTGTACTCTTCTGTATGGCTTGATTTTTTTTTTTTTAATAAAGAGCATTAGCATTTTTTATTAAAATAATGATTAACGAAAAGGAACAGCATGGCACTAGATTAAGTCTTATGTCATATTAATAAACACAAGTAGATTTCTGCAGGTATCACAATTAAAAATAGCACTGTCTGACAAGAGAAGCGATGACAAGAGCCAACCTGAATGTTTGCCAAGGAGCCTGCACCTGCCAGGAGCTCGTGGGGGAACTTAGCACAGGCATCAGGTGGGTCGTAACTCACCCAGAGTAGACACCTGAAGTCAGACTTTTAGCCTGTAGTCTTTGTTAGAGTAAGTGGTAAATTAAATGATTTCATTTACTCTGCAAGTTAAACTTCCCTAAATGCAGCAGGGCTGCCCTAGAACTGAAATGAGAACTATGCAATTCAAGTGTCAGCGATGTGAAAAAGCATCCACGCTAGTGCAGAGTTACTTGATATACACCCACAAACACACTCTCGCTCACAGACATGAAATCTTGTGATTTTATTTTATTTTATTTTTTTGGATAGGAAAATAAGGTTCTATTGCCAAAAGCTGCCCCGAGGAGTTTCAGAAACAATCATGTTTGCAGACCCCTGCTGCCAGGGCCGGATGGCAATGACAGCCCTTTCATCAGCCCAGGCCTGCTGCCTTTGCTGGGGGCCACCCGACGGGCTTGCTTTATTTTTCGCCACTTTAATGGGGTGGTTCCTAAAATACTTTGGAACTTCTCTACATTCTACAGAAAATAAAAGGTCTTTTCTCTCTGGGCGTTTCTCTCACTCCAAAGGAATGAAGAATGAAAAATAAGAGGAGAAATAACAAAACCCCTTTTCTTTGTGTGTCCTTAATAAATGGCTTTGAGGCACAGGCTCCCTGGGAGCACTGTGGCCACACTGTACCTTTCTCTATTTTAGGTAAAGTTCCTAAAGAAAAGGCAAACCTTGATAAATGTTTAGTAATGATTGCTAATAAATAAAAGTAGCTCAAACTGGCAATATGCCTAATAGCTCACAAGGCATTTTGATCCTTTGAGCATTCTGTGAAGTGGGGAAGGTCTTTTGTAGATTTTCTTTTTTTGAGAGGTTAAATACTTGTGCAATTACACAGCTGGTAAATAAGAGTCTGAATGCCAACCCAGACTTTCTGATTTCAAATTCAATGGTATTCTGACTTCACCAAGCTCTCTTTAGAAATAACAGGCAAGGGTCCTCTCTGGTGGCGCAACGGGTGAGGACTCAGCGCTGCAAGCTGGCCACAGCAGCTTCAGTGAAAGTTCGATCCCTCACCCTGGAGATGACCCACATGGCGCGGCAGACCTCTCCTGACCTGCCCACTGCTCCCCTCACTGTGTACTGCATCGATCTGCCTGTTCTACTCCCCACTTTGTCTCTGGTGAAGTCTCTCACCACCCCTGCACCTCTGGCTTGTACCCCAGTTCTGTATGAATAAATAAATAAATCTTTAAAAATAAATAAAATAAATGATAAGCAAGTATTTAGTTAAGCATGCTCTAATAGTTACCTTAAAAAATAAACAAGTAAGCTCTCAATCTTTACAAATATTTTAAAAGTGAATAAACATCTCTATGACCTGAAGATAGGGAAATCTCTCTTAGATTCAAAATTCAAATGCAATGATGTAAGGAAATGTTGAAAGCTTAAGAGCATTAAGGAAACTTCTGTTTCTCTGTGTCACTTATGAGTATAGACTCATTATTGATCTAACATTTCCCACCACAAAGTCATCATTGAAGAAAAAGGGAAAGGGATAGAAAGGAGAAGAAGGAAAAAGGGAAATTTTAAAAAATTCTCACGTAGCATTGAACATCAGGTTCCACGATGCACCTTACAAACACTAACTCATTCATTCTCACAGCTCCATGTCCTCCACCACAACTAAAGGCATCAAATACAGAGGTTCTTTGTCTTTTACTTTGCCTCCTGTCTTTCCTGCAAATTCTTCTGTTTCCTTTGCCAGGATAGCCTTCTTTACTTGACCAATGAACACTGAAGTTCCTCCAGAGTGTCCTAATTCTTTTCTCACTCTATAAAACCCTCCCTACATGACACCATCCTCTCCAAAGACAACTACTGTGCATAAGTAGATACCTTCTGATCTCTATTTTCTGAGGTCTGGTACTGATTTTCCAGTTGCCTACCTGTCACGTCTGTTCATACACTTCATGGGAACTCAGACTCACCACCTGTCCATCACGCAGCCACACCTGCTCGCACTGTAAACGGCATAAACAGCCACCATCACCTTCAGCCTTGGCTACTTGGAGAGCTTTCTTACTGTCTTTCCAATCCGTCCACATGTTTGAGCCAGCCTACCTGTGGGCTTTGAGGTTGTCAGCCCTCACATTTATGTAAGCCAATTCCCAAAACAAACCTTTCTTTCTCTGTGTCTAGATGCTGTTATAAGGTCCTGCTTGTCTGCAGAGTCCTGACAGACAAACTCACAGAAGCATCTGATCATGAGAACATAGGACAGCAGGTAACAGATGACACTAAGTGACTTCAGGGGTAGACTTTTGTTATAGAAAAGAACCCTGATCAATTTAATAATGTTAGTTCTAAATAGTTAAATACTAAAAGGCTAAAGAAACTATGTCTGGGAGATAAGAACCCGTTCGGCCATGAGAAGAGCTGTCTCTATGGAGTTCGGGGTGCAGGATGTGCACCCACGGGGCCTCACTACAAAGATGTTTGCCGAACATCTAGCCCAGGCCAAGTGTTCTCCTTATCCAAATTATTATTTGCAAATAACTGTTATTGTTACTGTAAATACGTTGTTATCGCAAATAACAGAGATGGACATTCTCGGAGCTGCTCTGGATCTAGACAGGTCTTGGGGCCAGGATGCTTAGCTTACCTGTAGCTGGTGGTTGACAGCTGCATCGTGGAATCCCAGGGCTTGCTCTGCACCTGCTAGTTCCCTCAGTACTGGTACGCACTCAAGACTTCTTTCACCTTTACTGCTCTCAATATATTCTAAAGCCTCTTGGTAAAGTGGAAGAGCTTCTTTTGATTTCTTCTGACCTTGATACACCCTAAAAAAATCAAAGAGATTGTTTTTAAAATAATTAACATAAAAATACTACAAATAGAGGTGGTCTAGAGGTTGTTCAGGTTTGTTTCCTTGTCAGCAAGGCTTCCTTCAGCAGGACACAGTGCCCATAAAGATGGATTCTGGAATACATAGGAAGGTTCAAATCCACCATTTCCATTTTCCAGCATTTCCAAACTCTCATGAATGGCTTGGAAGAGTTAACTTGAGCACAAGCTTCTCTATGTCAAAAAATATATATGTACACATATTTCTGCTCATTGCATGTTAGCATTTAATCTTGAAGTGATAATCTGGCAGGAGAAGGCGATGAATATATATATAAAAAAATTTTACCTAAGCATTCTTCAAAAAAGTGGAAAACTACAAATGCACTTAAAATACAACAGGTGGTAATCTATATTACCCAAGCAGAATGTCATGTAGCTATTAAAAGTTAATGTTGATCCACATTTACAACAAAAACTATGTTCACTATATATTTGTCAGTAAGAGGGGCAGATTACAAAAATACTTCACATAATACCTCATGCACGTAAATATTTTCTAATGTATATGTAAAGAGGTACCTAAAAGCCAGACATGTGGCCCCTAAAATGTTAGTAATAGTTATCTCTAAGGAGTTGGTTGTGAGTGATTTTATGTTTCTGACTTAGCTTCCTAAATCTTAAAATTTTTCTTCCATTAAAGCTCTATTGCTTTTATATAAAAAATGTTAATTTAAAAATTATAAATAAAGGTGGTAGTAGAAAAATATTCTTGTAGCTTCTTGAGAGGAGATTCTCCTACATAAAAACTGCATCTCTATAGACTGTTCAGTAAACACAACAACAAACACTAAAAAAATCTCCAAAATACTTGCCAAGATTATTAGAAATTTTTTTCTTGTGTGGAAAAATGTCATATACAAAATTCATATAGAAAAAGCAATCCTTCCCCTCTCCCTCCACCTCAGACTCTTTGTTACAAAAAGGCCTTACAATTCCCAAATTGCTCATGGGTAAAATGAGACATAATGTGAGAAAATAACCAAGGGAACACAAAACATGGACCTTGTTTTCAACTCAATCATAGAATATTTTTGACAATTTTTGCTCTACAATAAATATCAAAGGGATTGATCAAAGGGTAAAGGTACTTTTCAGATATGTGGTTCAGGTGACCATAGTGAAATAAAATTCTCACTAACTAGGTTATGAACTGGAATACCTTCTATTATTGTAAAAAAAAAAAAAAGGTTTAAAACACAGAAGAGATATCAGGACTAGATGTTTCTAGACCAAGTAGAGTTGTAGCTTAGAAGCAGTAGACATATTTAGCTTTGTAAGTATCGTATTTATTTTCAAAGAGAAAACCTTCTCATATCTTTGGTGATAGACACTTTGAATCATATGGTTGGCACTAAACCACTTAGTCAAAGAAGAGATTCTTGAGTGGGCATCGGTTAACTAATTAACAACAGGGATCAGTAAACCTAGATCTTTACTGAAAATGCTCGATTACTTCTCATCTAGAATCTAAGGAAAGTCACATATTTTGGATTCCCCCCCCCCATCTAATTTATCCTGGACAGTGCCTTAGATATCTGAGCAGAGGGAAAATGGATTCATCTTCCTTTCTCACTTTCATCAGTGATGTAGTGTACTGAAGGAGAAAAGACTAGGTCCCTTGTCCCCAAAGCAGCTCAGAGCATGTTAGAGGGGTAAAGCAAATACAAATGCCAAGATGCCTTCAGCTGGGCACCAGCTTTAGAAGACAGCAATATTCAGTTTAACGATCAAGCTCACAAAGCAGACTCAGCTAGCAGACACGTGCTAGTTCATTATTCAGCAATTCCTTTCCTGAAATGGAACCTGAAAGAAAAGTACTTTGGGGTTTGTAATGGTGGAGACCATGGATTACTTGTAGGTGTCTGCTAGCTCTCTCAGCCCAGAGCACAGCTCATCACTCTGAGTTTGCATCATGTCACCATTTAAGGCATTAAAAAATCACCCTCCAGGGCTCTCCCTGGTGGTGCAATGAGTTAAAGCGCAGCTCTATGAAGCTCTCTGCAGCCACTGCAGCAGGAGTTCAATCCCCAGCCAGGGAGGCGACCCACATGGTGCGGCAGACCTCCCCTGACTGCCTGCTGCTCCCCTCAGCAGTGTATTTCAGTGGATCCCCCTGTTTTGCTCCCCACTCTGTCTCTGGTGAAATCTCTCACTCCCTGCACCTCTGTCCTGTACCCCAAATCCTGTATGTGTAAATAAATAAATATTTTTTTTAAATCCTCCTGATACCTGACTCTGAGACGGTCTAGACAAGAACAGGACTAGAGGTCGTCACAGCCCCAAGCGCACAGCAGGAGCAGGTGTATGCCCTGGGGACACACAGCCTCCGGCAAGAACAAAGCACCTCTGCACCCTGGCTTCCAGATCTGAACACTGGGGTCCCAAATGGGTGGTTGTAGCAATCAGATAAGGTGTCTGCAAATGCTTGGCAAAGGGAACATGCCATCCAGGTTGATCTCAAATGCCTACTTGGAGTATCATGCCTCTTACTCCTTCCCTTCCCAACCCGTGGCCTATATGGAACTGAACTACAAAAACTCAGCTTCCCAGGGATCTGGACATATCAAGCTTTCACATATGAAAAATATACTGTGTTGTTATGGCAAGACACAGGCACCTTCAGGGGAATGAGGCACACCAACTTTGGGAGAAGCATTGCTGGTATCTGGGGAGGAGGTGGGCTCGGGAAGAACACCTACAGGGAGCCATTTCTCACAATGCCCTGCTTTGTAGACGTGGTGTTGTGTACATGATATTTACACGCAGTGTCTTTTTTTAAAAATTTATTTATTTATGCATACAGAACTGGGGCACAGGCCAGAGGTGCAGGGATGGTGAGAGGATTCACCAGAGACAGAGTGGGGAGCAGAATAGGCAGATGGATGAAGTATATTGATGAGGGGAGCAGTTAGGTGGGTCAGGAGAGGTCTGCTGTGCCATGTCACTCTGGGGCTGGGGATCGAACCCACACTGAAGTGGCTGCAGCTAGTTTGCAGTGCTGAGTCCTTACCCACCTTGCGCCACCAGGGAGGGCCCATACCCAATATCTATACTTTTATAATCCTGGCATATTTTAACAGATGAACAGATACAACACTATTGTTTATAGTGGGCCAGACACTCTCCACCCCTCACCCTTTGATGTCGCTGTTGCTGGCAATGCCGGGCCCTGGCATTAACAGCCCAGCTCCGAGTGGACGCTGTCAAGCTAATGCAACCCACAATGAGGCTGGCGGAGCTCAGTGAGAGTCCACTGTTCACATAAAAGGAAAGAAAATAGAAAATAAAATTACTTTAGCTTCCTGATATATTTAATAAAAAAGGAATTGAAGGGGTACTATATCAGGAAATAACTCGATTGTAGTCTTACCTCCATCTCCAACTCACTTAAATCATCAGCCAATTTCAGGTAATCTTGTCTGTCTCCATTTGCTCATATGTAATGTTTGCGAGAGCAACATTCTCCCGTTTCCATTTCTAACTACCTGCCGGGAACGCTTTGAGGATTTCCTGCCTAGGAAGTCCTGTGTTTGTGGAATGTTAGCAGACACACCAAACAGAGAATTTTGAGTAACAGAATGTGGCAATATGTTAATTAGGCAGGTCCACCATTTAAACCAAGGCAATTTTTTTTATTAAATTAAAAAAAAAAAACCCTACAGTAGTTCCATAGTGCACGTGACAAGACACTTATTTCAGATGAGTTTTAGAAACTTTGACAGGGCAGACATGGAAGGCAGACCAGCATAGATGGAACAACTACTGTGGTTGTTCAGAATCATTATTTGCAGTTGTTTAAGGGAATGTGTATTACAAGGATAGAGTATCAGAAAGAGAAAGACAAAAATAAAGCTTCAGGAGAATAAAGAAAGAGAAAGTGGAAAAATAGTTAAGTTACCTACATCACATGATTTGCCCATGTTTAAGACAACTTTTTTTTGAAACTGAATTTTGTGTAAGTCAAGAGCATCTCTTCAGTCACTCGGATAGTGAAAGTGAAACAAAAATCAAAACACAATCAAATGATTTCCTTCTTTCATAACTAAACATCAAGCATCCCAGGCACATGGAGCCCTGGGAGGAAACTGCAGGGAAACACCCTTCAGGAGGAGAGGAGGGCATTTCCTGAGCACCGGAAAGGGAGTAGCAGGACTTGGAACACACCGGCATTTCTCAGGGTCGTTATGCCCAGCCCATAAGTGCAGAGAGAGTGACTCCTTAAAGAAACACATCTAGGGCCTCCCTGGTGGCGCAGGGGTTATGTTTCAGCACCATCAAGCTGCTACCAGCTACTGCAGCATGAGTTTGAAACCGGGCCAGGGAGCTGACCTACAAAGCACAGCAGACCTCTCCTGTCTCACCTGCTGCTCCCCTCAGCAGTGGATTTCAGTTGACCTGTCTGTTCTGCTCCTCACTCTGTCTCTGGTGAATCCTCTCATCTCCTGTACCTCTGCGACCCAGACCCCAGTTCTTGTATGCATAAATATTTTTTTAAAAAAATAAAGAAACACATCTATATAAACAGGGACATCCAGATGGTGGAATAAATTAAAACACAAAATAACCCTGAATCAGAAGTCCAACAGTTTGACTTGGAGGTAATGGGTAGGACCCATTTAGGGAGGACTGTGGGCTGGAAGGGCCAAGACGGTTATAAGGGAGTTACAGAAATCCCAGCAAAGACACGAGCAGCGCGAGCATGCGTGGAGACCCACATTTCCAAGGGGGGAGGGGCAGCTGCTGAGTGCACACCCTGTCTCCTGGCTCCTGTTTTCTCTACCGCTTCCCAGGAAGGGTTGGCTGACGGAGAAACCTTCCCCACTTCCTCTTTGAAAACCTTGCATTAGGGTCACTTTCCAAGTCTCGTGATGATGATCAATCAAGACAAAGTGAGACCAGTAAAGAAATGGAAGTTTGAAAAGTTTTTAGTTTGGGTGGTTCATGTGAGCAAAGACAAAAAAAAAATGCTTTGCATTCTCTGGTCAGAGGAAAAAACACAGGCCGGGGGCAGCCCTGAAGGACAGACCCGCCTGTGGTGTAAGGACATGCTTTCCCAGCAAATGGTTTCTGGAATGGAAGTGCAGAAAGGAAAATGCTCCACTGGCTGGTAATGTCATGACTGCCTTTTAAGGTCTTCAGGGACCCCGTGCCCAAATGCAGGGTCCCTTTAAGTCATCACAGCAACCCTCTGCCAGCCTAATGTCCCCACCTGGACTGGGCACGTGCGCCAGGCCCGCCCACCGCCTGCGCCAGCTGGGCTGAATGGACGCTGATTGACTGCGGAGCCGGGTCAGCAGCGCACGCTGGTTTCTAGAAACACCTGGGAGGGGGCCTGATGCGCTCAGGGCGTTTATATCAGGCGGGTCTCAGAGCTCGATCCGCGCGGCCAGGCTCTCCGGGCAGCTGCAGAAAACGCCAGAGATGACACTGCCCGTGGTCACAGAGAGCGCCCGAGGGGTCATCTGCTCTGGAGGATGATCTCATTGATCATCACCACCATGCCGCACAGAAAAATCAAAGGTGTGTGGTGTGTGTGTGAGTTTGCGCGCGCGGGTACATACACTATGGTGTGTGCCTGTATGTACGACACGGTCTGTGACTGGGGATCTGTCCATCAGTAACCAGGATAAAAAAATCATTTAGCACTAGGGGAAAATCAACCTATTTTTGTTAGTGATTTAAAAAAAAAATCCACAACTGCCCACAAAGCAGTACGCGGCTTGGGCTCACGCTCCGCAGTGAATAAGCAAGTCAGTGGATGAAGTGGCTCCGGGTGGGGAGGCAGGTAGAAGTCACAGGCATCCTAGGAACGGGAGACACAGGGTGAGTCACCCTCGCTCGCGCATCTGTCAGCCGAAGGAGGGAAGAACTGGCCTGGCTGATGGGTACCATAAAAGGAGAGGCAGAGGGAGGAAGAGGATGCCCTAGAGATCCCCTTTTAAGAGAAACCAATCCCACAAGCACTGCCTGAGCAATTAGCCTGGCCTTCCAGCGCTAAACCTGGCAAGAGATAAGGCCCGTGTGGCTGACTGCAGAGAGGTACAAACCCAAAGCCGGGTTACTCCCTAAAGCAGATGGAGCCCGGCAAAATAGTCACATTTCAAAGAGGAAACAAGAGCAACGTGATCCAATGAAAGCCGGCAGTTATTCAGACAAGTTCCAGTGACTATTTCACTGTGTAGAATCTTCAGGAAGCAAAGCAGAAGCAAAGTTTGAAACAATTCTGCTAAAGGCAAAAGTAACGTGGGACCTCCGGGAATGTAACTTAGATGGATATTGAGCACAGATGTGTACGAGGCCCGCCATCTGCTGGCAAGGTTTGGTACTGCTGGTTTGGAAAGCTCGTGGGTGCAGATTCTGGCCAAGGATCACTTACTCTATTATGCTGCAACACTGCTCAGCATGAAGTACTGTAACATCAGTCAGGTCTCAGCCGCGGCAACAAGTATTAGACCTTGAACCTCTGACTTGCTTATCTCCTGTCTTACAATACAGGTCTCCACTAGTTACACAAGTGACCTGCTGCCTGAGGATGTTCAAGGCAGTGCCTCCGGTGCCAGGAGCTGGTTCTAGCTGACTGTGCATCGTGGCAGGCACGAGTGGTGAGTGTGTTCTGGGGTGAACTGCAATGAACTAAGGGGCGGGCACCAAGTGAAAGCATTGCTAGTGGAGAAAAATGAGAAATGGGATGAGATATCCAAGTTTATACAAACGTAACATACTTTAAAAAAGTATATGAAACGATACTATTTATTATTCAGAAAGATATATTCAAACACATAAATAGCGTTGACATAGGTATATCTGATGTGTGGAGGGCAGAAGGAAAGTGAGGATCAGAGATGAAACAAAATCAATTTCACAAAGCATAGCAAAGGTTTTGTATGGACTAATGAATGATCAGTATTTCAAGTCCAAATGATCTCCAGAAAAATAGAAACAAACAAGGGTAGACTTAGGACAAAATGTTTTATAAAATCATGAGTCAAAGACATCTTTCCTGATTTCAGCCATGTGCAGGCACCAGCTGGGTTCTCTCTGGGCCCTTCCTTCTCACACAGCTCCCACTGGGTGTCAGCTCCCTGGGGCCCAGCCTCCGCATGCGGTCTGGCTAGAGTTGTGCCAGCTGTGAATAAGGTCTCTGTGTAGGTCAGCTGGGGATTCGCCGCTGTGTCTAGAATAGCCCTTTTCTGTCATCTTCCCATGACCCCCCTCCTTGCGAGTGAGCATACTCTCAGCCCAGTGCTTTGTGGAACTGGCTTGGGTTGGGCTTTGGGAAGGGAGAAGTGTGCTGGTCACCCAAGGTCCTTCGCACCCCCACCCCCAACCCAGGCTCCAAGCATCAAGTTGGACTTATTTGGGGGTGGGAGAAACAAAAGACAGCTCTCTCACCATGAACTTAGATATCTGAACTCTTTCTACTCTGAGGACCTAATCATAAAATCAATGTATTGAATGAAATATTTAGATTCAGAGTGCACAGGATAAAGGGAGGGAGGGAGGAAGAGGAGGGGGCAGGGAGAGCAGGCTGACAGAAAGTTAAGAGAATGATGCCCAGAATTCTAGGGCCCGGCTGGCTGGGAGGCCACGCGTCTAGTGGGTGTGTTGCCCACATGTCTGTCTTGGTAGTGGCAAGTCCAGTCTGAACATGCCCTCTTTTATTTACTTTGGACAATGACCTTAGAGAAGCAATGGACATAGAATCGTGGACAAGATTTTTTTGACAAAGAACCTCCGGCCGTCTTATGTACAGAAAGTTTGAGGCTTGAAACTTACTGTGCAAATGACAATTTGATCCGCGCTTGAATTTCTACCCATTCTTCCTTTATAATCCTTCCACACTGTAGCAGCTCCTTTGAGAGTCTTTCTGCTTTTGTCAAATTCTCTGACGCATCCTTAAATCTGAGTTGTGTTCAAGAAACTTTCTACCGAGTTCTAGATTCCGGGACTCCCGTTCCCAGACATCCTTGGCTCACACACCTCCCATCACCCACCGGGAGCTCTCAGTGTTTGCTTTGGTCTTGAGAATTAAAGACAAATACTACATATTTCTATTTGTAAAGATGAGAGACAAAAGGATACTTCTGGAGGGCGAGTAAGGCTCTCCCCATGGTGTGGAACAGCTCGATAGAACACTTGAAGACATCTGTGTCATCGTTATAGGGGGGCGTGATGGAGTCGGTGAGGATTTCTTTGGCCTTTTCTGCATGTTTTTTTGCCTGCAGTGACATTCCTGTGGAGAAAGAAGAGGCGGTCTCAGTTTGTTTTCATTTTGGTTGGGCAAAGGTAGACTCTTGCACACTAAGGAATCTGACAGGGTGGCCTCTGTATCCCGTCAAGTGGCACATGGAGATGTTGGGGCCACTCAGAACACTGTCATGACTATAAACACCAAGGAAGGATTCACACCTAGTACTTCGCAGGGCAAATTCTCCCACAGTGGCCTTTGAATAAATAAAAGAAATGCAACAATCAGAATTTGAAAAGCTTTGAAACCTCCCCAGGGCCAGCCATAAAATATGTCCTAAATAATTAAAAAACAAAAACAAAAACATGGAATACGAGGTTGATAGCATTCTGGGCAGGAAATATGACATTTGTGAATTTTAATTCTGGTTTGTGACAGCAATTTAATGGAATGCTAAAAATTCAGTTTTCTGCTCACTCAGCTATCATTCTAATTTTAGGGAGTTATTTGAGCATTCTACAAATACAAGAATCTACAAAATCCTATAGATCCTCTTCCAGTAAGGTGATGGACTAAGATGCTATAAGCTCTTATTCCTACGTGGGAGCAGATCTTTGTACAACAAAATGGAACAAAGAGAATGCGATGGCAAAAATGAATTCCCAGAGTGCCAGGGCCCTTCTCTCCATGGGGTGATTGCTTTGTGGTGAGGGTGACACTGGACAGTACCAATTAGGATTCTGGAATTTTTTGCTTCCCGTAACTTCACTTTTCTTCCCCACACCAACACCTCCTTCCACACCCCTCCACCCACAGCCTACACTCTGGTATTATGTTCTTTATTATATGGAGTTGTATCTAAAAAAACCTCTAAAGAAGTTGTCAAAATGGGTGGCACTATTCCTGTATCTGTAAAACAGGAAATATATATATATATATATATATATTCTGATGGAGAACATCTGGGGTATGTTCTATGGAATTCTTTCGGGATTTTGTGTTTTTTTTTTCAAGCACACACTTCATCTAGCTGGCAAGAATGTATCAATGCTGAGGATGCATTCAGTAGTATGAAAGGCCTGGAAGACCGTAGTTCAGCACTGGTGCAGTCCCTCATGGCACCTGAATTCAAGCTACAGGAGGCAGTGTGGGTTGGGGCTCAAGAATGTGGGTTCTGAGGCCAAGATCAGCAAGTACCCGGAAGGCCTCAACTTCCTTCACGGTAAAGGGGGTGATAATATGCCTCACTCCCCAGGGCCGTGGTAGAAGTGGGGAGATGACACATGGGAAGAGGTGATGATGAGGTACCTTCGTACACAGCAGCTAGGTCTTGTACTCTAGGTTGAGAAAGACTGTCATGCAGAAGGGGAGCAGGTTTCTGACCAAAGCCACGCTGTGAAACCCTGGTCTGAGCCTCAGATAACTGACTCAGTGATGGGGGCAAGGGGGCTCAGCTCAGTCTTGCGGTTTCCTATGAGTGTAGAAAGCAGGGGCAGAAGCCGACTGAGTGGCCCTCCTGAGCCTGAGGGGGCTCACCTGTCAGCTGGAGGTAGCCCTGAGCCAGGTGAACGTGCGCCTCGGCTAGTTTCCAGTGTGAGTCACCATAGCAGATCCTCGTCAGCGCCACGCAGCGCACGAGCTCCTGGACGGCCTCTTTGTACTGGGGGAGGAGAAGGCGGCTGAGAACCCCACGTCCTGCTGCCCATGGTCATCCTTTACCTGTGAAGCATCTATTGTCTTGCTACTCATGTGACTATGCGCCAGATGTGGTTTAAGCACTTGGAATACCTCAGAGAATGAACAACAAAGATCTGCTTGCTCGGGCGGGTGAATCGGAAAATAAGCCCAAGAAATAAGTACACCGCACAGCACAGTAGAGGGCGAGGAGCATAACGAATAAAGGTAAAAATGGAAAAGCACGGCACAGTCTCAAGGAATCATCCCACCACATGATTTTAGTGATTTAGTATTTGTAGTCACAAATATTTAGTAGTTGCAAAGGGGAAAACAGCAGTTCTGTAGTAGAAAATGAGCCCTTCCGCTAAACGTCAAGTTAGCATTTTAGTCACAAGGATGCTGGAGGGTCCGAGGTTATGTCTCTGGGATTCCCGCCTCAAATGCATAAAATGGAGCTGACTGTGAGGAAACATATGAAATGCTTTAGTACTATTATAAACGCAGCCAAGAGAAGTCAGTTCTTCACATATGCTAACTACCGTAGGCCATTAGGGATTCATTCTCTTGCAAGATCCCCTTTGAGAAAGGTGGGAAAGGTACACATGCCCTCTGGCTCACTCTCATCTGTCTCTGCATCCCTGTCATCAATGATTCCTTCCCATTTCTATTCGCTGTCCAAAGATCTCAGCGTCTTCACTGTTGCAAATATCCTGTAAACTGGCCCCCTCCTCCAACTTGGCTCACTCCTCATCCATCTTCCCCATGACTATGCAGATATGAGTGGTTGTTCTGGAAGCCCAAATTTGCTCATGGTCCTCTCCTGTTTATACTCTAGGGTGGCCTGCAGAGCCTTGAGGAGAAAAGTGAACCCTCTTCCAAGGTGTTAAACATCCTCAGGGCCCCAGTCTGTCCATAATCCAATCTCATTTTCTGTGCTGTGTCATTAAGGCCTGCATTACAGCCAGCTCCTGGGGTTCCCCAAACAGACTGGCCCCCTCAAGCCCTTGGCATTGACTCCTGTCCACCTGCTACCTCTGCCCAGAGTGTCCTCGCCCTCATGGAGTCAACTCTTGAGCACTAGTATTTTGCGAAATGGCCACTGTAGGTCAAACCTATGGCCAACCCAGCCAGCACCAGTATCAAGTAACTGCTGTTCACACAAGCTTCCCTTATTGCTGAGAGTCCACCAAATTCGGGTTCGCTGCCCACATTTCCTTCCCTCACTGCGTCTATCACAGGACTTGACATGCTGACCACCAGTATCTGCCCCCATCTATCCTCCAAGCCAAACCAGGGGCCCCACCGAGGTCAAGGCAGAGGCTTTCCCACAGGTGTCCCTGACAGAGTCAGTACTTGGGAAATGAATGAATGGACAAACAAGGTATGAGACATAAGAAGTGGCAGAGAATTGCACATTGAACAAACAAGTCAGTGAGTGACACTTTGGGGCACAGAATGAAAAGAAGTAGGCAGATGAAGAAGACGATGAAGAGCAAACAAGAAGGTGAAGGTCGTCCTCTGAAAGCTCCATGTGGGCAGCAGCGGAATTTCAGGACAGGAGCCTGGTACACAGGGTGAGCTCCTAAGTGGTGACTGGCCAATGGGAAATGGCTGCTTTAGGTCAAACCCTGCTATAGGTCAAACCCTGCTACCGGCCAGCCCAGTACACACCTGGAAGAGGCCAGGGCATGCAGCTTAGCTGTGTATACATTCATTCAGCAACACGGCACAGGCCGTGCCTGGAGGCCCCAGTGCCGCACCCACTGGAGCCTTGATAAAGGCCCTGCTGCTCTCTACCGCTCCCAGCGCCTGAGCCCCGGATGACTGAACAAGTCCCACTTGTCAGTCACCAGAAAAGCAGGTGCCTTACTTTGTGATTGCTGGAAAAGGACTTCACTTTCTCTTCACAGAGCTGAAGTTTCTCTCGAGGAGGCTGGAACAGGGCTGTCTGAGGCAGCTTGTTTGGGGTCTTCTTTCTAGGCGTTATGCTGACAGCAGCAACAACTTCATCCAGGTGGTTGGATATGTGGGTTTCCTGGGATTCGTCCATATTTTTATATACATTGTCCTCTAATTTTGAAATAACAAAATAAAGATATTAAATAATAATTTCCAGAGTTACTTTAAGAAATACACATTTCCCATAGAGACTGAGGCTAGAATCTAGGACAATTTTGACATTTTACCCAAGATTTCTTTGGGGTTAGTGACATTCTATCTAAAAAGATGCTGGTGCTAGTATAGATTTCTTTGTAAAACTTTCAGAGTGCTTTCCAGTTTTAACTAAACAGAACACTCTTTGTTTATTTAAAGTGCGCGCGCACACACACACACACCATATTCTCCACAGTAGGAATCAGCTGAACCCAAACAGTTCTCAAAAAGCCTGAATAAAATCAGCACCCCAAATGACCTTGAAACAGAAAAAACAAATACTGCTCTTAAACTTTCACTTCTGTCCAAAACAAAGCAACATGAAGCAGATTTATCCACTTGCCTAAAATAACCCAAGAACCAACAAGGAAACCAAAAAGAATCCAATGCGTAATTCACAGACAAAAAAGTTATGGAATAGTGATTTTCAAAATATAGGACATCAGACAAGAAGACTGTGATTCCTGAGAGCTTGAAAACATTGAAAAAGTGAGGCCTGTGACTGCCTAGCTGATTGCTAGTCCAGAATACAGTACAGAGGAGAGCCCCAAAGTTATCTAGTAGATGACTGGGCAGAAACTGACAAACATTTTCTCAAGTTCATATAAAAGTGCTAAGCATCCAAAACCAACTTTGTAAAAGAAGAGCAAAGAACTAAAGACAAATTTTTATCAAGATTTATAAAGCTATGGTAATCAAGGCAGCTTGGTATTGCTGGCAATTTAGACAAATACAAACAAATGTTTGTTGACAAAGTTGCAAAGCAACTTTTGGAGAAAGAATAATCTGCTCAGCAAATGATTCTGGAACAACTGGTTATTCACATGTAAAAACTGAAACAACTTAAAAGTCATTTATTCACATCTCACATCACATATAACCATTAACAAACTGGAACTTACACCTTTAAAAGAAAATCTTTATTATCTTGAGTCAGACAAATATTTTCTAGATGTGATGTTTAAAAATCAGTACGAACTGGACTTCGTCAAAATTAAACATTTCTACTCTTCTGAGAAACCATGAAAAGAATGAGGAGACAAGTCACTGGTTGGAGGAAAATATTTGCAAAACATGTGTCTAATAGAAGAATGGATTCTTGGATATAAAAAGAACTCTCCAAACTCAGTAAGAAAAACAAGTAAAACGTCAAAGAAGATTTATCAGTGATAAATAAGGCACATGAAAATTTGCTCAACCTTATTAGTTAGTAGGAAAACGTGAATCAAAACCACAAAGAGATAATCACTCTACCAATTAAAATAACTGAAATTAAAAAGACTTTTGTAAGTGTCAGTGAAACGGTTGGACACATTCCTAAGAAGTTAAGTGTACAACTAATAAATATGCAGCCATTCAATCCCAGGTATTTACTTAGGAGAAATGAAAGAATATGTTTACACAAATATTTATAGGAGTTTTAGTAGCCCCGGACCCAGCTGTTTATCAATGTAGGTAAATGAATAAACAAGCTGTGGGATAGCTATAAACAAACTACTCAATGACTAAAAAGGGACAGGTAATGCTACAATACGACTGAACCTCAAAATAGTTGTGCTGAGTGATAGACTCCAGACAAAAGTGAGCACTAGGTCTTAAAAGTAACCAAATATTTTTATGATCAGGAAATGCAACACTGTCTACTGAGCTGAAAATTTTAAAATTACACAAAGTAATATCCCGTGCAATATTTGTTTTTCTGGGCCTCTGAACCTAGTGTTAAACTCTAAAATTTAGTTTGATTTTTCTACTTTTTTTGACTAAGCTGTAAAAAGTGGTTTGAGTCTTAATATTAAATTCTTATCACAGAGATTATCCTCTGAGCATGGATCTAATTTGTATACACTTTAAAAGAATTTTAGACAGTTTTTTAAAAAATGTGAATATTTTAAAATTAGAAGCTTCACACGTACATAAAAATCTAACTTTCTGGACTTGTGGCTTCTTTTGAAAAGTCAGAATACCCATCAACACTGGGTCTGTATCGGCAGGTAACAGTGGGGTGGAGGGGAGCAGCTCTTTCAAAGTTAAAGGCTGAAATAAAAGGAGGTGATTTTCCTGGTCCATGCCGTTCATCACTCATTTTCTCAATTTAATCTAATATAAAATAACATTGATTAGAAGGTATTTTACCACTTAATAGCCACTAAGAAACAGCACTGCAATTAAACTTGGCTTGCCAGTATCCACAGCCTCCTTCCAGCTTCAAGGATGATTAAATAGCAAAGGCTGCACCCCTGAATCTATGAAATGCAACATGTTATATGTCTGGCTTCTGGAAATATTTTAATAAATGGTCTTGTTTTAAGTATGTGTCTGTTTCACTGTATGCTGTGAAGCCTTCAGTATAAAAGCACACCCTTCAGTTCACTTACTCAGAGCTACATGCTTATCGTCAACCACTTTTCTTTTCTTTGTAATAGCCATAGCTGGGGCTTAATCTGTCATTAGAAATCAGCCCCAAAACACAGGCTACCCTCTCCCCGACAGCTTAGTTCAGCTTCCCAAGTCTCTGTCAGTGCCCACAACTGCCAGTTAGACATACCCAATCCACGGATGCTACTCCTTCTGCCAGACCTGACCAATAGAATGCTGAAACACATGATAAGCTCCAGCTCAAAGTAGGAGGAAAACAAAGGTCAGAAGTGAGGTCTCAGCCTTCCATTTCCAAATGGTGATGTTCAAACACGTAGTAACTGGTAAAGCAGGAGGGCCAACCGATCGCAGTAGAGGGTAACTATATTGGAGCTGGGTTCTGAAGGTCCTCTGCTGCTCCAGGTGTTGGGAACCCTTAGGTGCTGACTTGTGCGGAGGTCTAGGGAGGCTTGAGGGAGGGGCAGAAGCTCTGGGATCAGTGGCTCTTAGGAAATAACCACCTTTATGACTACATGGGCATGTACAAGTTAAAAAGTAACTGCCCGTGACTAGGCTGTGACCCCAAAAGCTGTAAAATAGAAAAATAACCTAGAAAAGTACAAACTACACTACCAAAACGTCACAAAAAGGCAGTAGGAAATCTGAAGTTGCGAAATTTAGTAATTTAAAATATGTACACAAAGTTAAGCCTAGACTCAGAGGACCTCAGCTGGAGCACTCAGTTCCATTTGAAAAATTTATTACAAGACTATAGAATCAAAATAGTGAGGCACTAGCGTAAGCATTGTCCTATAGACTAATGAAATAGAATCAAGAGTTCAGAAATAACCCCTTACACTAATGGTCAGTTAATTTATGACAAAAATGCCAAAGTAATTCAATGAGGAAGGAATGTTCCTTTTAGTGAATAGTGCTGGAACTACTGGATAGGCACATCCAAAGGAAAAATGTTGGACCCTACCTTATACCACATGCAAAAATTAATTCCAGCTCAAAGACCAAACAGTAAGAGCTAACACAATTCAATTCTTAGAAAACAACGAACTATAAATGCGCATGGGTGTATTTCTTAGATACAATGTCAAAGGTACAAATGGTAAGAGAAGAAAATAGGTAAGTTAGACTTTATTAAAATGAAAAAGCTATGTTCTTCAAAGCAAATCATTAGGAAAAGTAAAGGATAACCCATAAATATATATGCAAATATTTGTAAATATATTATTTATCTAATAAAAGACTTCTATCCATATTATGTAAAAAAACAAAATACAACATAATAATAAGGTGACAAATAACCCAACTCAAAAACAGACAAAATGTTTGAGGACATTTTACCAAGTAAGGTATATGAATGGTCAATAAACACATGAGTAATTCACCATCGTTAGTCATTAGGATAATGCAAATCAAAACTACAATAAAAGCACTGTACACCTGCCAGTGTATAACTCATCAAAAAGACATCATGAAGTGTGGAGAAACTGAAGTTCCCATACACATTTCCCAGCGTTATATGGCACACACTACTGGTAGAAGATAAAACTGTACATTTGCTTTGGAAAGCATGTGGGTAATTCTTCAAAAAGCTAAACACAGAGTTACTATATGACTTAGCAATTGCAATCCGAGGTATATACCCATCAGAACTAAAACTGTGTTTACATAAAAACTTGTACACACACACAAAAAATTCAAAGTAGCATTATTTACAATAGCTATAAACTGAAAACAATCCAATATCCACCAACTGGTGAATGGACAAATAAAATGTGCTTATATGATGAAATACTACTTGGCAATGAACAGGGATGAAGTAGTTACACACTAAAATAAAACTAAATCTCAGAAACATTGTGCTAATTGAAAGAAGGTAGGTTTATGATTATATTTATTTTAAATGTTCAGGAAAGGAAAATCTATAGGCAAAAGATTACTTAGTAATGGTTGCCTAGGCTGGAGGTAAGAGTGGGAAATGCCTGCAAATGGATACAAGGAATGTTTTTTAGGGAGATGGAAATTTTCTACAGTTGGAAAATGGTGGTGGTTGCACTCCATAGGTTTTCTTTGAAAAATTATAAAGCTGTCACCATGAAAAGATTAAACTGTATGGCATATAGGTTGCATTTCACTAAAGCTATTAAAAAATAGCCATGAGATCACAGCATTTTGTTTTAACTTAAAAAATCTTTAAATAAATGATAAGTCCACATCCACAAGGGAAAATCTGTTAACAGATTAGCTCCATGTCATAGGCCCAGTTGGTTTAGGAAGAAGGGTTGACAATGGAGATAGTGGGGTGTCTGAGCCACAAAGTCACTCATGACTTTATAGCAATGAGATATATGACTATATATCAATAGGAGTCATGGCATGTGAAGAGAAAACTTTGAAAAAAGAAACTGGAAAAACCTTGGATGAGTTTATTACCACCATTGCCCTGAAGTGACATGGGTCATTTTTATTTGCTTCCTTAACTGCAAAGAAGGCTAAGCTCTCCAGGAGAGTAAAAGGAGTATGTGGTGACCACTGACAGTTGCCACATTGGTTCTCTGTAGTGGGAAACTTTGTCTCAGAGTTATTTTCCACAGCCAGAGATTCCTGTCCATCTACGTAGTTAAGAACCACTGACTGTCAGCTTTGGGTGGACAAACTTTAGATTCCTTGAAACAGTTTTGAAGCAGGTGACACACACCCTTCTCAGCTTCCCTGAAGCACTTTGGCTTTTGGGGGGAGTTGGTCTTTAATTCACTTCTGCTTGCATTACTCTAGGCTAGGATCTGGAACATGGTAGCAGACAGGGGATTGAATTTGGTTTTGGAGACACAAGACAGCTGAAACCCGACAGTCTATAACAAGACTTGCTGTCCTCTCTTAAGTGTTCTTCCAGCACTAGACCATTTTTCGTTGAAATTCCCTCAGTCCAATTAAAGAAAACATATTTAAATGCTGAGTAAAAAAGGAACAAACATTGAATCCATGTGAACAAAACCACTTTTCAGTTTTGACTGTGCCATGACTAGCTCATAAAATTTAAACTTACAGTGCTAAACAAAAGATAGGTTCAATGCTTTAGAAGAACACATGGAAATGTATTGATATTTACATTCTATTATTCAACCACAGAGTAAGGTGTTTGGCTAAAACTCCTCTCAAGAAGAAAACACCAATCTTACTCCAATATTTAGAGTATTTAGCCCCTTAGATTTTGGTCTTTGCTCTCCCAGACACCAACATAGCACAGGCAGTTTTATCTTCTTCAATTATTACTTTCATAAGATTTCTGTACTATTCAAGAACTAGGAACAGCTCCTTAATTGTGGCGAACTGACTCCTCCAATAACTTGCTGTGCTTTTCATGTAAAACCGATGACCCCAAGTGACCTTTCTGCTTCAGTCAACAATTATTCTTTAAGATCAGAACACAGCTCATCCACTACCTGAGATTCCACATCATCTTTTTTTAATCTACTGAAATTATATTAAAAATACTTAAGCTCACACAGGTCTGAATCCCTGGGGTGCCCATGGCTTACAACAGTTGTCTATGTAACAGAGCTGTCCAGTTATAATTTAAATGTTTTGGCCTTGTTTTCCCAGGTAAAGTATTAGCATCTGGAGGGATTGTATTTTATTATTTTGCATTCCAAAAAATGGACTAACAAAGGCCACTTGAGAAATATCTATTGCAGACCTACCATGACTAGTAGAGGCACAGATGGGATGCTAGCTGTGAAACTTATTAGTTGAATTAAGGTTTAAGGAGTCACTAAGATGCTAAACTTTTAAACTATCATATTGGGCTGATCCTTAAAAAAATTGGTTGCTCTTGGATAGAGCTGGAAAAGATCATGCTTAGTGAGATAAGCCAGAAAGAGAAAGAAAAATACCGGATGGTGTCACTCATAGCAGGAGTATAATGGACCAGGCAAGAAAATAACAAGAATAATGAACAGCCATAGACCAGAGACATTTTGTGGGGGTGGAGTGGGGAATGGGATCAAAAACGGAGGGGGGGGGGGACAGTGCACAGGATTATGGTGATGGCACTCGGGTGACTTGGTGATGGGAAACCCGTGGGGATTACAATCTAGATGGAAAAAAAAATGTACAAAATGATGTAAAAATAAACTTTTAAAAAAATTGGTTACTATGTCAAATACAAGTTTTAATATAAGTTGTTCTGTTATCAGTATTTTATGGCTCTTATACTTTAGTTCTAATGAAATTAGAATTTTTGAAAATATAATTTCTTTTTCAGAATTTATACTTATGTAAATTACTTACTGATTCTTCTTCAATATTATGTTTTGCTCTGACACTAGCAGTTCAGTCCCTGGATTCCTGAATCTACGAACATATACAAAACTTGGATACAAAGAAGATTCGAATTTTTCACATCTTTTAACAGATATCATGCTAGATTTAATGTACACACACACAAATCCATTTCACTTAAAAACTACAGTATTAGTCTTTCTAAACCTATATTAAAGCAACAACAGTAACAAGCCACAGCTTCTTAGAGGACAAAACAATCTCTCATTAATCTTACTAGCTGGGTCCCTTTATCATTCAAAAAAATGATGTAATCTAGGAATAATATTCTTTCAAACTCACCCTAAAGAGAAAAACACCCTCTGAAAACGCCTCTTCTTGCCACTCTTAGACTGTGCCTGCATATAACCTGTTGGTTTTTTTTTTGACATCTACAACTTTAAACTAGTAAAAACTCCAAAAGTTTCTTTAAACTTTCAAATCTCTGTGTCGTAAAATCCTTTGTCCATTTACCCAGTAGGTTGGAGAGATTCTCAGTTTCTTTTTCAAGCGATTGACAAAGTTGTCTCCGCCATCTGCTTTGCCAGTTAGGATCCTGCTGTATCGGTTCCTCGATTCTTTGTGCAGATCAATAACCATGAAAAAGCATAATGTAATGCAGCTCCAGACTGAATCAGAGAAGCCTTTTCCGTAAAGCAACCTGGTACTCCAAAAAACTACAGGCAGGAGAATGATAAAGAACGCACCAATAGGGAGTGGAGGAGTATTTTGTCTAAGTTTGTAACCCAATCCTTGGGGGCCAGAGGTGGGAATTTTAAACGTAGGGTTGCCTTTTCCTTAGAATTTTCTTAAAGTGGTATCACTGTCTGTTAATGCTAAAGTTTTCAAATACTGCAAAAATCACAACAGGATTTGTGATTAGGAGCCCCTTATCCCCCAAGTTTTGAAAGGCAAAATAGAAAAATTAATACTGGACAAATTTAGAGAACCTTTGAAAGTGGTCAGTAGAATGCTTAAACAGACTTGGTTACTTTTGTGTCAATTCCAGGAAGCAGAAATTATTTTAGGATGATTCATTTTTCATTGCCAAATAGCATGTTAAATCAATGCATTAAAACATTTCCTTTTTAAAAAATAAATGAAAACTAGAAGGACCATATTGATTCCTTAAAACACTTTTATCATTAATTCTTTTTTGAGACTTCGATATTAGAGGCAAATGTCATCATTCGGGTTGACCCTTAATACTCTTAAACATTTTTTTACACAAGCTGTAGATATTTTAAGTCTAGTAAAAATTGCTAAGCACGATAAATTGTTAGGTATCTAGAAACCTAGATAGTCTTGAAGTACCTGACGTTTACAATGCTATATACTTTAATAACTTCTGGTCAGGTTTAACGAATGGGTAACTATCAAGTATTTCATTCCTCACACTTGTTTTAACATAGGCATTATTTAATATAGCTGTGCTTTCTGGAATGTTTATCTCCGAGTTATTAATTAAACCAACGTGAAACTGATCATAAAAAATCAAGCGAGCTAAAAAACTAAACTTCGAGCTTTTCAAACAATAAATAACAACAGCTTCACGAGAGGACATTTAAAACGAAAAGCTGCAACAAACAGGGTATTTGTTAAGTTTGGTTTTTTTTTTTAAATATCCCCCACCAAAGCTTCCCATTTTAACAGCAAGCCCTGTTCCTTGGGGCTCTTTTTGTGTGGACATAGCGATTTTGAGCTTTTAAGTAGTTCTTATTGACGGTCTGCTCAGCCATGCTAGACACCGCCATATTAAATTTAATAAATTGCTGTTGTCCTTTTTTAGCTATCGTTTCATAACAGACCTTGGGTATTTTAAGGGCAGAGGCGATTGCCCGCATCGTGTCAGGAAGATCACTGTGTTTCAGTGAGCCTTTCACTCCCGTGCTCCGGCTCAGTACTCGCTAACTAACCTTGGCCACTTTACATAAACCCCCTGGGCCTCAGGTCCTGCTCCGTCAAACGGGTGTACAGCCCCCGTGGCACTGCAGTGGGGGCCGAGTGAGAAAACCTATCCACAGCGCTTAGAATTCTGCCTGGTACACAATAAACCCGGGCGCGTTATTGTCATGTTTCCTCCAGAGTGCCCTGGACGCGAGCACGAGTGACTGAATGACCGTATGAATGAAAGATCAGGCACGTGACTGGTTCCTGAGGTTTGGAATCAGCCCAGTCCTCCCTCAAAACCTAAGCACAACAGACGCTTTCTTGACAACACCGTGCCCAGCCGGAGCCGGAACCGGGTCGAACAGTGGGGCGGGCCAGTCTGCAGGAAGCCGAGCTCCCGACCAATAGGCGCGTCTCTGGGAAAACGAGCCTCTCGTCCCACCTATCGTGTGGCCGCGAGAACAAGGGCGAATTATCGCGAGGTTCCGTCTTCCGCTCCAAGGTTCTGTTTTCCCCAAGCCCTCTGTAGCGCTCGTTCCGCCCCGCCCCGCCCCGTCCCGTCCCGCCCCTCGGGCCTGCGCCTC